GGCCATTTCTGTGTAACCCTTTGGCTCCTCTGATGGGGACAGCCTTAATGCTTGGGGATTTGCCACAGGGATGAAATTTTATGAGACTCGTGATCGAATAAAGAATCTTGCAGCATTTTTAACACCAAACTGAGGAGAGTGGACCACTCCTGATCTCCTCCATGGGTTGGAGGAACCCATCTCATGTTGGCATCGTGGTAGCAGCATGGAGGAAAGAAAGGCAAGGCTGTGTCTGGCATTTTCTCAGTGTTTCTCTTCTACCCAGAACCCTCAGCAGCCAAATATGTGGTGAACAGGGCTTTAAATACATTGTGTTCAAGTCCTGGCAAATTCATAATTCAGTAATTTCACGGTGGAGCTTCCTCCACCTCCGAAATGAGAGAAGATCTGGCTGAAGGCAGCAGTCCCTCATCTTGCAAATTCTGACACCGTGAGGCAACACACACACACACACACACACAGACATCAGCAATCTGCTGAGAAATACCTAAAGATGTTTAAATACACCTCGTTTGGCTGAACTTCAGAAGCTCACAAGCAATAACAAGTAAACTTCGGGTTAGGGCTGCGCTATCAGATCTGAGCGAGAAGGCAGCAGCACACCTGAGCCCGAGCATCTAAACGGCTCCTTCTCTCCTCTCCCTCCAGGTGAAGAAGATCGCAGCCGAGTACTACGATAACCTCCCACAGCACCAGTCCTGGATTCGGGTCCTGTGGGACTTTGTGTTCGATGACACCCTCGGTCCTTACTCGAGGGTGAAGAGACTGTGCAAGCTGGCCAAGGAAAGCTAAAGGACCGGCCGCCGTGTTGGTGTTTTCCTCTGTGCTTTTGGGTGACTTTGAGGTTGCTGCAGGAGTTAGGAGGGTGTTTGTGTGCTGGATTGGTATCGGCATGCACCCCTTCGACCCAGGGCAGGAGTGAGGAAAATGAAGCCATTAGATGCACTATTTTGAACTGCTGGTACTTCTTATAGAGGATATTTGTGTGTAACCCTGAGAAACTGGAATAGAGTGAGCTGTGGTTATGGGACCCTTCGGTCTAGGCTTGGAATTCACTTCCTGGGCCACGTGTGCTGAGTTTTGGCCTGGTCTGCAATGGAGAATGCTTGGTGCGTGTCTGTGTGTGTGTGTGCATGTGTCTGTTTGTATGTCTGTGTGGGGTTCAGGACTGGTTTCCCTTGGTGCCAGAGGAGATGTGGATGCTCTGTGTGCACAGGGAGGCCCGGCACGCAGCAGTAAATGACACTTTCTGGAGAACACAAGGGTGCCTTTAGCTCCATGTCTTACCTCTTCTGATCATTGCTGGTAGCACAGACTCTGTGTGTGCAATGGAGTATGTGTCTATTTTGGTACGTTTGTGTCACTGTTTCATAGCTGCTGTTTGACCTCTATTCCAGGGCTATGTCTAAACCTTTTCTAAATTAATTTCTATGCTTAGGATGCATTACCCAGTGTTGCTACCTGGCAGCGTTGAGCTGTGGCATGGAGATACCCCTATTTCAGTGCTCTCACTGCCCCATCAGCAGCACGGCTGTGCCTGGAGGAACTGGGGGTCCTTTCTCGCTCACCTCCTCAGCAGTATTCACAGCTTCACGTTTCCCATCCTTTTCCCCACTGTAAATCCTTCTGGGCATGGAAAGGTTTGAGTTTTAATTCCTGTTGTTATTCCTGATCACCTTTCTTGGTCTCCTGTGTATTACACCCCTCTCTGTCAGTGAGGACATGGAGTTGTTATGGTGATATTTGTTCCTAACAGCTTTCAGGATAATTGTAGCTTTTTTCCTGTAAATTCCTGACTTTTTCTCCTTTTTCCAGTAGCTATTTTTTAAGCATGGGATACTCCTACTGTATAGAAACTGCCACTGGTGATGTTAAGGGATACACCAGGAACATGGAGCCGGGGTTGTTTCTCTCCCTGCGTGTTTTATTTTGTGCTATCGACATTACCCTTCATCTGCCATTTCTGCCCGCTGGAACAGTCAGATCTCCCTGCCCATCCTCTCCAATTATCCAGATTGGTTATTCTTGATAATTCTGTGTCATCTAAAACCTTAATCACCTTTCTCCAAGCAGAGAAATATCTGGGGAGTCAGGAGTTCCGATGCCATCTAATAACTTCCCTCCACCCTGGAAAACCAACAACTTATTTCTGTTCTGAGTGGTTAGAAATAATAGATCTGTCAAAGCTCTCTTATCCCCTAACAGCTTGACGCTTCATCTGCTGTTTCATGTCTGTAACAAGGCAAAGGATTATTCTGCATTCTCATCGTATGCTGTTAGACCTGGGAAGCCCAATTTCCTCAATGAACTGAGTTTTGTCCCTCTTCTTCCATTTCCCTTCCCTTCATTTTCCCCATCCGTCTGGTTGTGGCAGTGGGGTGAACACCCAGGTCTGCTCAGCAGTGCAAGAGGTTGAATTCCCATTCATTCAGGTACTGTTTTGGTCTGGTTCTTTTGCTGGAAAAGACAAGGGAAAAGGGGATTTCTTCTCTTCTTTGGGTACCTTTTCTCCCCAAGTGCTGTGGGACCTCCCCTCTGCCTTCTTTGTGTTGGTGCTCACGCCAGGAGCTTCACTTTTCTGTGAATTGACTCAGTGTTGCTGGCTCTCCATGGTCATAGATTCAACCTCCCGCGTCCTTAGCGAGTTAATATAAAAACCGTAATAAAGATTACGCTATCTCCCTCCATCTGATTATTGTCCTTCTCCTCCGTGGAGCGTGACCTTGCGGTGGTTCCCTTACTCAGCTGTTCCACGATGCCGTTGTCTGCGTGCTCTGTAGATTAAAAGCCGAGCCTGTGGTGCAAGCAGAGGGCAGCCACAACTGGGAACTGCTTCTCCTGGTGCCTGCAGACGTGCGGTGCAAGGTGGGTTTTGGTGTGTGGGTGCTGCTGGAGAAGGTTGGGCTCCTGTCCCCTGCCCGGGCGCTTGTCCTTGCCACTACCCAAAAAGTTGGCAGGTTTTTTGGGTTTTTGTAACCACAGGGCAAATGGGTCTGGGTTAAACGAACACTCGGCGCTATGTATAAATTTATTGTCTTTGCTTAAAAATTAATCCAGATGCCCTTCATTGCATGACCATGGTAATGCCTTGGCTGGAGGAGATTGGAGGGACAAATAGGTGTGTGACAGCTCGGAGTGGAGGTTGATGATGTCCCTTTTGATTTTGGATGGTGTGACATGCCCATGGCCTGCCCTGCCGCAGAGACCCCCTCGGTAAACCCAGCACAGTGGGAGCTGCTGCTCTGGGAATCAGCAAAGCACCGGTGATGCCAGGACCGCTCCCATCCACCCCCTGCACCTTGTTCCCACAGCCATTAAATCGCCCTGTGTAAACTCCAGCTCGTTATGTCCTAATTATACCAGGCCTGTGAAGGTAAGGAAGAAAGAAAAGCTCATTTACAGCAGGTGGTGATGATAACAGAGGGGCAACGCAGCCGCAGCTGTATCCAGGCTGGGCGCTTGGCCCAAATTACAACGCGGTTATTCCAAGGCAAATCATGAACCACGCCATGCCCCGGTTTCCTGGAGCTTTATGATCTTCGCTGGTGCTTGTGGTGTTCTTCCTCCTGGAAAGGCTCCTTTTTCGTGGTCCTGGGTTGTGGTTGTGCGTGGCACATCAACGCCTGCCCGCTCTGGGTCCCACGTGGAAATCCTACGCCACCGTCTAAGCAGTCTCTCGCCTTCTGCTGGCACTGAGCAGCAAGCAGCAGGCTCAGTCTGGACCTCGCCGTTGCATTCAACCCAAATTTCTCCCAGATTTAATCAACAGTAGGACCGCATTGAACACCAGACTGTTTTCGAAGCAGCAGATGGGGTTGCTTTGGAGAGCGCTGAAGGACAATCCCGTGTTCTCCAAACCGAAGCAGATCACATTTTACAACCACCCGCAGCTCCCGCCCCACCTCGTCTCCTCTCCTGGGTCTCCTGTTGGTGGCAGGGAGCCCCCCCTGGCCACTGCCACGCTCTGGGGACACCAGCACGGGGACAGCCACAGCCTCCCCTGGGCTGCACCACGCTCTGCTCCCAAAACCCCTCCTGGCACCTGGCTTTTAAAATTAAATCTTCAGGAAGGCCTGGAGCAAAGCAGGGAGGGTTCGGAAAATATTTGCCAGATTTCAGCAGCTGAACTCCAACCTCTGGCCTTTTGCACAGAGTTATCCAGAAGATGCTATCAGGAGAATTGCCACGTGAAGCCTGCGCCAAACTAAGCTGAGCAGAAATTCCCAGGATTGCTCTGGTGGAAAGAATGGCTCTAGAGAATAAAGTTGTATTATTTCCTGAAAGGTGTGACCTGAGGGAGCTGGGGGGTTCAAGTGGAGCAGAGGAGGTGAGGGGAGACCTTATCCCCTCTGCAGCTCCTGACAGGAGGGGGTAGCGAGGGGGGTTTGGTCTCTTCTTCCCAGAAGCAACCAATGGGACGAGAGGAAATGGCCTCAAGTTGTGCCAGGAGAGGGTGAGGTTGGATCTCAGGAAAGATTTCTTCACTGAAAGTGTTATCAGGGACTGGCAGGGGCTGCCCAGGGCAGTGGTGGAGTCCCCATCCCTGGAGGGGTTCACAAACCGTGTGGATGTGGCACTTGGGGCCATGGTTTAGTGGCCATGGTGGGGTTGGGTTGACAGTTGATGATCTCAGAGGTCTCTCCCAATCACTGTGACTCTCTATGACCGGCTGTGAGGTGTTTAGTATCCCGTTCTCACGTCTCTGACTTAATTTCCTGTGAAATAAAGCTCCAGACCCCCACAACATTAACAAACCAAGTATGTGCGATACCAACAAATTATTCCCCTTAAGCCTCCTGCTGTGCTTTGAGCCTTCATCCTCCCCATGCCCTCGGTACCCTTGCTCTGCACTAACACCTCCCTTTTCCTCACTGCAAGCCCTTACGAGCGCAGGGGATGGGCCCTGGTTGTGTTTTGAGTGTGGCACCATCCAGGCAGCGCTGCCACCCCACGCTGAGTCCCGCTGAGCCCCAGGGACGAATGACACAGAGGCAGGGCCATGTGGACAATAAACAGTTTATTACCAATATGAACACAGATACTGTGATGCACTGACGTACCATTTTTTAATTTCTTTTTAAATATCGTGATAACTCTGAGACAAAGAACTCGTTGGCTGACAACTAACATGTCTCTGTTTCTTCTGGTGATGCCACAATGCGTTTCTGTTGGCAAAGGATCTTCATTTACATCGCAGACTACTAGTAAAATTACTTTGAAGTCATCTATCAAAAGCAAATGGTTCACGTGTGGTCTTATCTACTACTAAAAAGAAAGGTAATACATTTAAATAAGCAAATACAAAATACAAAAAAGGCTGACAAATCCAATGTGCGGTGTCAGATGAGATCTAAAAAATCCGGAAATTTAAAATTTAATATTCTTTCGATTAAGACTTTTAAAATGAAGCGAATCCAAGGCAGCAGCAAGCTTCAAAGTGTGCTGAGTCTGCTAATAAAAAGGGGATAGGAACAAAGACAGTGCCGGTGTCCTCTCTCACCACCCTGCGTGACCTTGGTACACTTGGAAAGTTGGTCCCGGGGGGGGGGAGCCGCTCTCCCTCGCGTCCTTCGCGCCGTCCCGCTGCTGTGCAGTCATTATGTGGTACTGATCCTGCTCAACTCCTGCCGTATGGCTGGAAAACCAAACCCAAACAGTTAATGTGCTGCGTGAGAGCCCGTGCAGTGGGAAAACCGCCACGGGGCAGAAATACACCCGGGTAAGGTACGGGATGAGGGGGTGAGCAGTCAGCTGCTGGCTTAGGAACCGCGGTCCGGGCTAAGGAGCTGTGGCTGATGGGAACGTGTCCTTTTGCACTGGGAATGTCTCCCTTTGCACTGGGGAGGCTCTGAGGGCCAAGCTGCCGGGATGGGAGCATAGGGGTGAGGGGCTCCTCTCTTGCCCCACAGTTTGGGCTGGGGCCAGGGGCAGGGAATGGATTTTAGCTGCTTTACAGTCTCCTCTTCTTCCCTTTCTGCGTGGATCTAAGGTGGGGAGCGCAGGGTGTGGATGTGCATCTTCACAGCCCCTAATGCGGGCTTCAGATGGGTTTTGTGCTGTGCATTTCAGTAACAGCCATAAAAATGCATTTAGTCACATATTGCAGAGCAGTTTGTTAAAAAACTACCGAGCCATTCAGCACAGCTGCTGTACTTTTCAGTGAATTATAAAAATCTGGGGCTATCTGGAAAGCTGTGAGGTCTGCAGTAGCTCTTCAAGCACAGGAAGCCTACAGAAGATGCTCGGGAAGGATTTGGTACCTTTGTCCCCTCTCCTCAACCCTGACCTCCATGGCCGGTGAGTTACGAGCAATTTCACACTCCCTGATGGTGATAAATCGCCATGGGCAGGCCCTTTCTCACCCTCCCAGCTGTGATAAACACCGGCCAGGGAATTTCTCACAGGTTGGGCGTGAAAGTGCTCGTCAACAGCATTAAAATACAAGGATGCAAACAGAATGTCACAATCAGAGCTTGGATAAGGCAGCTGCTTGTTCTTCCAATGTGGACATAAGTCAGAGCTGCTCAGAGAAGGCTGAAAACACCAGGGACCTCTCTGCAGTTCCTACCATCTTATCTACGGGAAATTAGTCATAAAGATGAGAAAAATAATGCTTTTTCTCTTTCTTACCATCAATTATCTCCTCTTTCACTTTGTGTAACTCTCTTACAACTTCCTCCAATATTTCCTGATGAGACAAAACACAAGTCAGCCGCTCAGAAATCGCCTTCTCAGCAGTGGAAGAAAAATGCAAGGTTACCAACCATGCTTGTGCCCGTCCCCCGCCTCTGGTGACGGCCAGAGCCTGGTGCTACCAACAGCCCCGGGCCAAGGATGTGGGGGATGCTGGCGTATTCATCTGCACGTTTCCGTACAGACACCTCGATCGCAGAGCAGGGAGGTGCTGCTCCTTGCCCTTCCCTAAGCCCCCGGTGCCCCAGGACATCAGAGCAGCTGGATTGCTCGTACAGCGCATGGGGGAAATGGGCAGCTCGTCAAACCTCTTAAAGGTCAAAGGTGCCTGCACTCACCTGCTTCATTCGATCAAAATCTAAGGCATCCATCGCCACGTCGTTGCTGCTGCTCACTGGCTTCATCCTTGAGGAAGGGAGGGAGAGGATAAAGACGCCGCTGAGCTGCGCCCACCTGAGGGTGTGGGTGAAACCGCCCCCAGCAGCAGCACAGGCAGCGAGCGCTGGACCAGAGGCTCCCTCTTGTGCCGCTCAGATTTCTGCACTGGAGCTGCACTGCTCCCACTCGACCCCCAGAGATGCTGCGTTCTCCTGCTGCAGGCACGTTGGAGCACTAAAGCTTAATTTACTCTGTTTTTTTTTGTTTTGGGAGTCTTAATGGTTTCAGACCAGAAAATGCTGAGACGTCTTCAGGGGATAAAGCCCGTTTGACTCTGTTTTATTACAGCATTTGCAATTTGCAAGCTGGATTTCTCTCTCCCAGCCTGTTTTTCCATACAGCAACCCTGTCTTAGCCACCCAGACTTTAATTGGGTGCTAAGATAACACAGGTTAGAAAAATATGATAGGGAAAATAATAATAACCCAGTAATGCTTTCCTGACTGAGTCAAGCGGAATTTGTTGGCACCACCGTGGGGCACGGGCACTTTTTCTTGACCCAGAAACAAAATTAATCTGCCCTTAATGGCTCTTCCACTCCCACGTTATCGCTCTTGCAGGACGGTGTTAGTCAGTGGGCTGAACGCTGATGACAGCCGATAAAATAAATTAAGGAAGCAGAAGCTGCTCCACTTTCTCTTTTAATCAGTAACTAAAACATTTCAAAAATTAACCGGGCTATGTAATTCATAGAAAAGGCTTCCAATAACATCTTTGAGCCCAAAACGGGGGGCTGGTGGGGATTCTGCTGCTCCTGGGGGTACGTTTGGTCTCGCAAGCCTTTTCAGGAAAATCTTAACGTGTGTCCTACCACCTCAGAGCTAAGCTGGGAGCTGAGGCAGACACGAACACCATCAAACTGAAGATCAACAGAAACAGGTCACCACCGAGAGCTTCTGAAACCTGCCCCGCTTCCCAGAAGAAAAGATTTCACAAAATCATTTCAGCAAGCAAGGGCTCCAGGTGTTAAACTAGGAAGGGATTTTTTTTCCCACATATTTTCCCACTAAACATATGTGAGTCTGGGTTCTGCCTCCTGGTCCAGCTTACCCATCCATCAGTGTCCTGTACTGCAGGGACACTGCTCCTGGGCCAGTCTCTTTAGCTGCCCAACATCAAACTGATCTCAGTCTCTGTGGGTAAGAACAAGGGTGTGGATGCTGTTGTGGCCGAGGGGACTCCTGGAGTCCCAGTTTAGGCTTCGTGGCTTTTGACCCTGCCAGCTTTGTACCCCGTGTTTCTGAATGCCCTCTCTGTGGCTGGGCCTTTTCACAGCTCGATGCGACTGATTCACTGCACCAAGCTTTGCTCTCCGTTCTCGTGCACCCACTGAAGTTGCACAGATGGAGGAAAAACCTCCAGGCTCTTCAGCTCATTTCTGCCTTTGCTTTTCAATTCCTGCAGAGCTCGGACAGGGAAAACTTCTCCTATTGGCAGGGCCATCCTGAACCTGCTGTAAAACGCTGCTCCAAAACCTGCCTGCCACGGGGCACAGCACACTGCAACACACCCGATACCTGCACACTGCGTAGCAGCAGAGCAGATATTGCAAGAGAATGAGTAAAAGCCGTGACAGGAGACGAACATTAGTGCTGAGTGATGGGATTAGCCAAAGGAGAAGCCAAGAGGGTACAAAGCCGGGCTGTTAGCCAGTACCTAGAGGACACGTGGGATTGTGAGGGGCTCTTGGCTTCACCGCTAATGGGTTTCTACAGCAATGGGATGAAAGGAGACGTGAGTTGTGCGCGTGGCATGGGACAGCGTGGCCACCCCGACTGCTGCCGGCCACGGGGACACCCCTGCAGCTCACCTGGAAAGTAGTGAAGATACAGGCTTTTCAACAGAATTGCTCCTTTCCCATGGCTTCTTCCCAGAGTCTGGAAAACAAACCAAAAAGTTACCATTTATTATTTTTTTCTCAAATGATAAAAAAGTCCTGAATTCGACTGGCTTATACAGCTGCTTTCACTCAGTGAGGATGAGTGACTGAGATCCAGGCAAGCAGAACTGCTGCACAAGTGCAGTTGCCTACAGTATAGAGAAATAATTGGCAAAAACCTGCTCAGTAATCCCTTTAATCGGGGACTGGAGAGTTAAATGATACTAAAAAGACACAGAACTGCAACAGTAGGAGGAAAAGCATAAATCACTTCTATTAAGAAATACAGCTAATCGCTCTAAGTCTCACTTTATTCAGTACAATGCTTATTTATATTTGAAGTTAAAAAGTCTTAGGGTTTTTGTCTGCAGAGTTGGCAGAAAATGTGGGTGTATCGAAAAAAAGGCAGCGAGACCCCCACCATGCAAATCTCCACAGAGCATTAATTTCATGTTGTCTGCATTTCTCACTCGCAGAACATTCCCAAAAGCTGCACGACAGTACCCTTGTTCCTGAAAATGTTTGTTATTGCCCCGATTTCCTCCTGTGCAGAGTCTAAAATAGAGAGTTTCAGAGACTTCAGTAATGCACAACTTCGTACACAGGGGTTTGCTCCTCTGCGAGGTCCTAGAAAGCTCTTTGAAATAACTCTGGGCGCTCCCAGGAAATCTCTGGATCCCATTCCTCATTTACGAGCAGCTTTCTCCTGGCTTCTCCCCTTTCCCTTGCAAAACACAAACCCATGGGTTTGTTCCAACAGGAAGCTGGGCTGGTTTAATTCCCATTCCCCTGGAGGGATTTCTGTTAGCACGGATGAAGGCCAAGGCTGACGCAAGGAGGCACTGGACTGGCTTGCAGCTTATCTGCTCAGAGACAGTCATTTCAACTCCTCAGAGGAAAACCGTATTTTGGGGGGTCCTAATACCTCTCAGTGTCAGGCTCACTGCAACAGGCTGCTAGGGTAAGGGAGGAAAACATTTTGAGACCCAAACCCCAACTGTACAACCCAGGATGGCTACACTACCAAAAGTAAAAGAATAGAGACTCAGGTGCACAACGGTGAAGACGCAGATCCGCACCTACGTGTCTGGACCCCTTTAAATGGGCTGTATTGCCATTGTCTTGCTGTGAAGCAGATAAAATCACCACTTCTTGCTTTTTACAACACAAGGTGTTTGGGATTTTATCTGTTAGCTACTGAAGCTGCACTCAGAGGATGTTCTCTCTGCACTCATTAGGATGAACCCTAGAGGTGGAGAAGGCTGGACTAAGATGACACCTAAACCACTTGTAACTCGATTTAATACCTGATGAATTTTGCTGCTGCTGGCTGGGACCTCGTGTACTGGGTGAAGGAGAGGTGCTAGCATCATCCTGCAAGAGAAAAACAGGGCACTTCTTAGTTCTGGAGATGAAGCACAGAGCCCTCTTCTACCAGTCTTTAACTTTTAACCTTTCTCTCCCTTCAGCATGGCAAAAGGCATCCCATTTATTTTTTGCTAACGTGGTCCCACTGAATCACTGCCATCCCTGTACTCCAAACCAGGATGAATGACCACTCAGAAGTGCTGGCTGCTGTTGTCTAAATACAAACCATCCATTTCCCAAATTTAGATGTGTGTGATATGGAAATAGAAGCACCTGAAGGAGCAGGAGGTCAGACCCCAGCCCTTTAGCCAGGGACAGCCACTGGTACCAGCGAGGGCAGTCCAGGTACTAACATCATGTAACTAAATCAATTGCTACTCCTCCTAGGTAGAAGTTTAAACACTGCATCACTAATTTGGACTTCTTTTTCCTGGGATTTATATGTGACATATCACAAAACGTTAACCCATACATTTGACGCGTCAATATTATTTAGCAGCCTCAAAGCATTAATTATGCCCTGTAAAATAGAGTTGCACCATGTGTGACAGAAGCTATCCCACCACAAAGTGTCCTCAAGACCCACATTAAACAGATTTCCTCTAAAACACCTAAGTTTGGTGCCATCAAAAAGCCTGACTGGGGATATAACCTAATGCACAGCTTCGAGGAGAACAAGGGGCAGGAGGACAGGAGAGGCTGGGTATTTAGAAGCTAAACGGTGCCTTTCGTCTCGGAGCGTGTGGTTCAAAACCAGCTCTGGGGCAAGATGAAGAGCAACGGTTGCACAGCAGCATCAAGGGCTCAGTAGGCAAATCCCATGCTTGAAGCATCCCTCGAGGAAGATGCAAAACCAACAGCTGCTTTTCTCCTGAAACGGTGCACGTGCTTGTTCCTGCTCTTGCTACAAACCTTTCAGACTGGGGCGAGACCTTCATTTTTGGAATGGTGTTCACTGTCACCTCGTTTTTGGAGGGGCTATCTCTGTACAGGTGATACGAGGCACACATGATGCATCCTGGCCTTGCAGCCAGGGCAGAGCCTTCACAAGGGTTAGCAACAGGAACGCTGCGTGAGCAGCAGCCCCAAAAAGCACCGCATGGGAAGGGACACAGCGCAAATCCTGGCCTCTCCTGAAACTGGAGTGATCTGCCACGCTTTACCAGTTCAAAAAAAAAAAAAAATGTGGTTTAATCCGCATGTTGAACTCCAAATTGCTGCAGCAAGTTCAGTGTAAAGACTGAGTCAAACCAAAACTTGCTTAGGAGGACAACGTACAGACAGAACAAAGTAGAAATAAATAAGAGTTGCCTAAAGTTGTCCAAATTCGATCTGATTTTAGTGCAAGTGTCATGGACATGTATTTTAACCTTTGAATTGTGTAGGGTTTACTGTGATCTGTCCCCTCACCCCGCCAGAGACATTTTATGTGCGCTCTGGGGTCCAATGTGAGCTGATCCTTGCTTGGCATGGAGGATGCCAATCCAAACTACACCACAGGGCTGATGTCCACTTCAGCTCAGCTGAAGCTGCAAATTCAATGTAAGAAACATGGCCTTGATGTGACGTGGACTTGCCAGAAGGTCCAATGCACCTTCTTACGGGGCAGGAACCTATGATTCCCTGCAACGCTCGGATCAGACCATGAGAAAGCACCCACTGGCCTGGTTTGGGGAACGCCTCACCTACAGATACAGCAGTAATTCCTGCTCATAGGGTGCTGTTCCCAGGCAAAGCAGCAGCAGCAACATTCATAAACCTATTCTGGGATCAGCACCGCTCATCGCTGCTGCCACACGCAGGGAATGAGCCCAGGGCTTGGGTTTATCAACAGGAGGAGTCTTCCACTTACGTTTTGGCTTTCCTCTTCCCTTCTGTCAGCTGGCTTGTCTGACTGCGACGCTGCTTTCCTCCTAAAGGGAGACAGGACACATGTCAGCCCCCCGAAACACGTCCTCCCCGACGGCTGCTTCAGGCTGCGGTGGAGTCATTGTTTACCGCCTTCATCCCAGGAAACGTGGCCAACGCCGGGGTGAAGGTGAGGAATGCAGACCTCACTGCAATGATTTTGGGGAGAGGGGCAGTATTTTGAGGCGGTGTTTGAGCAAGGAACGCGGGGTGCGGAGCGTAAGGGAATGGGTGGAAGCGGAGGAAGGAAGCACAGCTGGGTGTGAGACAGGGACGGCTTCTCTCGAAGGCTCAGGAGGCGCTGGCTCCTGTGTCCTCACAGCAGGAACAACCCAAACCCTCCATTTTCAAGCCCTGTTTAGGGTCTAAACCGTCCTCAAGTGTGCAAGGTAATGCCTAGACATCCAATTTCCCATTTTAGACAATACGGAGACTGTCTGGATTTTGGTTGTGATGATCCCTATCCTCATCCACCTGTGAACACCAAGGTGCCAGGTTTGTCTTTTAGTCTTGCTTCTCAAGTGGACAAAATTCATCTCATGTTAAAAAAAATAATCCCAAGTGGCACTTAGAAAGGCTTTTGAGCTTCAAAACACTGCCACGTCTGTCAAAGGGTTTCTGTCTTTAGCATCACTGGCAAAAGCAAAGCCTCGCTGGTTTGACAAATGGGAGGATTTGATGTAAATTTGGCCAAAAACCCAGAGGAGTAAAACACGTGTGTGTGTCTGTAGGACACAGTGCTCTGTGGGGGTTATTCTAGATGTTCATCTGCAGTCGTGATTTTATTAGCTCAGTAATCATTTTTATAGTCTCTGTCTAATATTTACTGGATACTTCTGAGGAAAATGATTACAAACCTGAGCGGGGGAAGCATTTGTCAGGCTGAGAGACCTGAGGTGTTGGATTTATGTCCTGCAACAGACGTAACGGGGCTAGAAATGACAGCGGTTGGTCTCATCGTTCGTTGTTCTGCTGGCACTTCAGCTCTGAAGCCAAGGGCTGCTCTCACAGAGCCACTACATCTCCAGAGCCGGATTTTACTCATTTTACCTGTTTTACACTCACGGAAGCGTTTTCCTCCATCCCTTACCCAGCATCAAACACATGCCCTGTTTCCGAGCATGTGGCTTTCTGCTCCAAAAACGGCCCCTGCTCATCTCTCACTGATTTCTGTATTAAACAAAGTCAGTTTAAATAAATATATCTTTTTTTTCCACCTGGCTGCCAGCTCAGTAAAAGCAACCTGAAACACGGTGCCAGGGTCTTTCCTTTCTTTATATCATCACATTTACAAAGGGTTTTGCAGCCCAGAGAAGCCCTCTCAGTCTCAGTTTAGCAGCATGCACTGATCGCACCCTCGAGTGGCACTTTGCTATCTCCAGTGACTTGGGTGGCTTTGTGAAGCCAAACTTGGGAGCCAATTCTGTGGCTGTCAGCTCCCAGGGCAAGGATTTCCAGCTCAGTTCCTTTCAGAGCAGAGGCAGCGCAGGTGCTTTTGTTAAGATAAGGAGGGATTCGGCCCTGAATACTTCAAGACACCGAATCCCACTGCCAAAAGAGTATAATTTAGGCCAGAACCACAGAAATGTGTAGGATTTCTATATTGAGACATGAGATCTCCATTAACTTGCTTGAACAGAGCCAGCTACCCCCACTTCAGGTCACCAAACCTTCCTTTCCCTAAAAAAAACTGTGCAGCAGCACAAAACAGATCAGAAGGCAAACCAGTAAATACCTGTTAAAAGCTATTGAACTATTTTAATTGTGAGAAGAGAGATTATCTATTTGGTATTTTACACTGCTGTGTATTTATTTAATGCTTTCTAAAGGATTACACAGCCCATGTTCAGCTTTCCTTCTGAAATGACCAGGACATCGAGGAAAGTTGGGATCAGCTCTGAACTGGGAACTGGTTTTAAACTTTATTTAAAAACTCCATCTCTGTGCACTGTACAACTGCACCGACCCTTCATTGCTTTACTCATCCTTTTCTTTCACTATTTGTTAAAAAATAAAGTTAAAAAATGATTTAGATCTAAAAATAAAACATGTAACACTAGGAACCTGGAAGACTGGCAGAGCATCACTGATGGAATCAGGAGGAAAAGAGAAATAATTGGAATAATTGAGTGACTTTGAACAGCTGGATACATCCCTGCTCGTTTAGTGCAGAGCAGCTTGGCTGGCCTGTCTGAAACACTGAGAACTGACAATCATTTACCTGCCGAGATACTGCACTTGTGTTTATATTTCTGGGCCCACCATCCTGAATGTGCTGCCTAAAGACTGCTTTGTCTAAGCTCCTTTCACAGTTTGCTCTTCCCAAACCCAGTAACTTTGAGACAGATCTGGTAAAAGGCAGAACCCCAGCGGCTGTAATGATCGGTGACTCTGAGGGTCACCACGCTGCAGGATTTGCTGCAGCAGCTGAACTCTGCCAGGTATCACTGCTGCAACATCTGCATTTCAGATTAAAGGCCAGATGATGCTGGCGACTAACATGGATGCAGGACCTGTCAAATCACAAAAAAGCACCCAAGTGACCCACCGAGAGCCAAAACTGACAGCAGAGCTCATGCTAGTGCTCACTTGAAGCCCAAATACACACCTTTTTGCCAGTAATTTATTCATTTCTTCCATTAGTCCTCCTCCGCCTCCGCCGCTACTCGTTCGATTGGCATCGCTCTTCGAGACCCCACTGGGGCTGGACCCTCCTGAGCCATCTTCTGGCTGAAGACACAAACCAACGCTGGCATTAATGACAAGGTTCATTTACAGTACACCCTTCATGATGCCTTTTCCTAATGATTAGCAACAGAGAACAGAACCACAGCCCAAAACCAGAGATATGACGGGTTCTGCTTTGGGAAGAAGACCCACGTGGACCTTACTAAAACCAGACAGTCCAGATGAGGCAAAAACATGGGCACATGTCAAAAACCCCAGCGCTGTTTGTCCATGGTGATGTTTATGGCTAAGCAACCCTTGCCTAAGTGGACACCTACTGACACAAGGCCTCAGCAATCTACACTGGTTTTTGTAAGCATGGGGCAGTTTTAGCCACTTAAACACTAAGAGTACAGTGGTGGACTTTGCAGAAGTATGACAACCTGGCAAGATGAGAGCTTGCAGCCATTTGCTAATTAATATTTACTGAAATAAATAAATTCATGCTACCAAACATTAAAACTGCTCCACAAGCTCACATTTCAAAGTTCACTTAATGCTCAGCCAAAGCACGTTTCACCACGTCAAGCGCTGGCAGGGGCTGCCCAGGGCAGTGGTGGAGTCCCCATCCCTGGAGGGGTTCACAAACCGTGTGGATGTGGCACTTGGGGATGTGGTTTAGTGGCCATGGTGGGGCTGGGTTGACGTTGGACTGGGTGATTTAAGAGGTCTCTTCCAACCTTAACAACTCTACGACTCTGTTTCCCGCAGGGTTTGCAGACCATCACACCAAGCTGTGCCAGGCCTTCCCGCAGCAGAGCAGAGCCCACGGGGGGGGTCCCAGTGCCACCTCCTTACCCGTTGAACTCTCCTTAGTTTGGCACCAGCCAGAGCCGCTGCGAGCCCTG